TTAATTTTTATTCATAAAGGGAAGTGAGAGCGTGTGCAGGTGCACGTCTGGTCTCTGCGCGCTCTCATTTCTATTAATTCCTTCTGCCAGCCCGCAATCACACCTGGGCTGGGTTTAGTTACTCATCCATCTGTGGACGAAGACGATACAAGATCCCACACGGGAGCACGGATTTATCGGGCCGAGGAAAGCTTATTTAATAAACCCAAGTGCTGAGTGAGAGGGTCGCATTGAATGAGGCAGAGGGAGGCCAGGAACACGGTGTTGGTTAAATTCCCGGTCAGACGAGTGATTAACTCCACCGGAGAGCTGCCAAAAAAATCGAGTCGACGATCTTATCAATGAAAGTGGCGAATGTGACTAAGGCAGCTGAAAGACGCCTTTGAAAAACGACCAGGCCATTTTCCTTTCCACAAAACAGCGTGACATCTGCGCTGTGGTCGCAGCCTCATCGAGCGAGCGTGTGTGACTCACAAAAGTGTTAGAGGCGCATGAGCCCGTCTGCGTCTGTGGCATTTCTCGCAGATGTTCACACTTGCTTCAGACTGTAAATTAAAGCGTCTTCCGCTCGCAGCTCAGTAGCTCCGTTGTTTTTCTGTCTTTTTTTCTTTTCTTTTTACCAAATCATCCCCATTACATCAATCAAAAACCCAGCAGCCAGTCTCAGACACAAAACAAACCACAAGCCCTTTTAGTCCTTTTGTTGTTTGACTTTTTTTAATCCTTTCTAGTCAGATTTTGTTTTTCCTCAAGCAAAAGAAGTAAAACTGTCTACATCAATGGCAAATCTCACAATATTCCCCATTCAGTACCATCCCTCGGGGGGAACAGGAGGAATACATACAATTCAGAACAGCAGCAGCAGCACCTTCCTGCACATTTAATGAACACGTCTACATCCGCTAACAATGCAATGAATGAAATCATACAGCCGACCTTAGAACTGCCTGAGCGTCTCCCAGAAGGAGTTCAGTTCATGATATGTGGGTGTGACAATCGAGTACGTCGCCACGGGCAGCCAAAGTTTTCCAGACTGCGGGCAGTTTGACAAGGTAAAAACGTTCATTAAGAAGCAGAAATAAAATAAAAAAAGAATAAAATCATCAGATGCTCAGAGCTTGAGTGATGGGGGACTCTTAATGGCAGGATAATAACGACAGGATTGAAAGCAACTGTGTTTGTGCGCTCTTTCTAAACTCCAAAGTACCATCAAGCATTTGCGTTTTGACTGAAAACTGCTGAGTTGCATTATGAGAACATCTCCAAAAATACCATTAGAAGCATTTCTACTCGCGTGTTTGCCTGCGAGTCTGGAGTGGGTAAACACGTGAGATTCATGTGTTCATGAGTCTGTTTTTCATTCGTATTCTTCCCCCCTCTCAATTCTGAATGACTATCCTTTATTACCCGCAGTTTCCTACCACTCAAAAAAGCTCAATTGTTACGCTGTCAACCTCAAAAGTCATGTGACCAGAGGGGAAAAGTTCATGAGCATCCCGAGGCAGGCGGGCAAACACGCGAGTCCAAATTTGCAGCTACACACATACATGTGTAATTAGACGTTAAGTTATTTATTATTTTTCTCCTTCTTGCTGCTGTGCGGTGGCCCTTTCTTCCTCTTCGTGCACTTGTATTTCTTTTTAAACCCTCCAGTCAGAGTCACACACAAATTCAAGGTTAAAGCATACGCAAATCTTCACAATGAGCAGACAGCGAGGTGAGATATGTCACAGTTTTCCCCTCGCTGCTAAAGAAAACACCAGGGGAGGGAGAACATAAAAGGTTACATTTTTAACATTTTTTCATCCCCCCCAAAACAAAAACAAAGCAATGTGTCCAGACTTGAGAGCTCAAGGTCACCAGAGGAGAACAGCCGCGTTTTTTTGTGTTTTGGCACTGCTGCGATTTAGTCCTCCATTAAGGTCCAACGCTTCTGGGCTCAAAGCCACGGCTATCAGTCAAGTCATCGGATAGATTGCTGCCACACCGCACAAACAGAAAAAGTTATTTCATGAGAACTGTACAGCCAAAAGAGACCCAAAAACAATAAGACACAAAAAATAGTCAGTATACTCTGATAGGATATCTATATTAGTGCTAGTTGCTATGAGAGAGATAGGACAGACAGGCACTTAAGTTCTAATGCATAGCAGAGATTGAAGCAAGAGCCTAGACAGAAAAGAAGGACTTGGGGCCAAAGCAAAGTGAAAACACCTCTTAAAATGTTTGGTGCTGTGTAAAAAAACCCAAGTGAACAAACTGCAATTTTTTTTCATACCGATGAAATGAGAACTGATCCCTGCTCAACTGCTAAAAAGCAGTGTGCTGACGACTACAAAGCTAGCATCAGCATGGCTATTGATAGGGCCTCTGTCCTCAGCTGTGTGCACTGTATGCTATTTAGCATCCTGAGATGAAGGGGATTAAGTGAGACACAAGTGTCTGGAGCCAGTAGCTCTAATGGGATTGCTTAGCAGTATATTTGGGGAGGGGGGGGTCTAACCCTGAGCTGTGGTCAGCAGGACGGCGAATTTACGCCCTGGCACAATGCTAATATGTTAATCTGATCTAGCTGGTTTTAACTAGCTAGCAGGCTACTGTACTCCCTGCTACAAGTGTCTTTAGTTTGAGACCTGTGTGCTCAATACTTATGGCTCACCGAACAGCGAAAGTATGCAGTGAAGAAGATATCAGGAGCAGAAAAATTTGAATTTTGAAGAGTAAAATCGACACATAATATTTAACAGTACGCTAACAGCAGCTATGCTAGTATTTCTCACAGTAGAAAGGAAGGCTAGCAGATTGCTAGTACTTTAGGTCTCAGTCAGACAAGCCTAGTGGCTTGCTAGCGACCATTTAGCAGCTACTGGTCGCTAGGTTAAAATATTTATTCCTCAACCAGTTGCGAGTCATTGCTAGAGGCTGCTGGCAGTTGCTGTGAAACTGATTGCAAAAGCTCCATACTCAAATGGTTGGAGACTAGTTAGTAACCCTGTTGCAACCACCGTTTTCTAAGGAAAAATAGGTATTACACGACTCTGAAATTGGTCACAAAAAGGTGTTTTTATTGCTGCATCAAAAACATTGTGATTGCTTTGCTTGCTAGAGGTTGCAAGAATAAATGCTGTTGTTGCCTGTTGCTTACACGGAAGACCACAACTTGTCCGCTAACACCTGCCATCTCTTCGCCAAGCAACTGTGAAACTGTAAGAAAAAATTGGAAATGGAGAACCGTTTGCCTTCAAAATAGGTTGCAACTTTTGAAATGTGTTGGTTGCAACAATTACTTTGAAGGCGAACACTCTCTGCTTCTGGTTTGCTTGGGAGAGTAAGCGGTGAGTGTTTGCAGACAAGTCTGCATCTTCCTTGCAAACTACAAGTGACTGCAGCAACCTGCCTGCAACCACAGCAATGACAAGAAGGTGCAGTTTTTGGTGCAGTGATTTCCTCTAGCAACAATTCGCTGGGGAATACTAACTTTTTCCCTAGCAACCAGAAGTTGCCAGGAGGTTGCTGACTGGTCTCTGGGCTTGTGGCTCTGAGGACTTAGTGAAATTTCTGCGTTCATGTCATATCAGATTTATTGTGTACAATCTCCCCCCCGCTTCATTTTATTTCAACATTCCAGTTAGGACTGTCAACATGTTTTTCTTGATTTTACCCATCTTGGATGACTCACATCAAGGAATATGAACTGAAACCTAAAGACATAGTGTTTTTCAGCCACATACGAGCAACTCTGTAATCACAAAGCTGACGATCGCTGTGCACACAGCAAACCTTCAAACCTTACATACTTTATGACATGAATGCAGTAAAAGTTCACACCAGTGCTCCCCACTTTTGTTTTTATAACTACATTAAATCAAGCTTGGAAAGAAAAACAACAAAAAACACCCCACAAAGCTTCACTGAAGTTCTCTGGAAAATGGCTACAATCTGAAAATGAGGCACTTTTTGAGCAGATGTACAATTCCACACATTTTTCTTTTTCATCAACCGTTGTATTCTTTATAATTGGAGCTCTTCCAATTAGGAAAAAAAAAGAAAAAAGAAAACACTGTTCTCCATTTTTGTACCCTCCTCTGACGGGTTTCACTCAAGGAATGAGAGCAGCAAATAGCTTTTTAAGAATGTCATTTGGCACACATCCCTGTTGGTTTCCACAACCAACTAGATGAAAGCGAAGAGGAAAAAAAGAAAAGAAGTTTTCCATCAGTCTCTGACAAAGTGCTTGAGGACCGTGTCCGATCCAGCTGCTCTCTCGATGCGATAGGTTGCCACAAAATGAAGAGGCGGAGCCTTTGTTTTCCCCAGGGACGATTCACCGACATCAGCACTCTAGAAGAAAAGGCAGAGAAGAGAGGTTTGATTACAAATCGTTTAAACACACCTCAGATATGAAGAAGATGAAAGAAATGTTATGTAAACAAAGTGTCTCCTCCTTATCTGGTTAATATGTAATGTGTGATATCAGTTCTGGAACACGCTGACCATAAAACTAACAACTTGAATACGTAGTGCGGCTAAACGGGCTGGAAGAAAGACTCAGACAGGAAGAAGGAGATAAAGGGAACAGCAGGGAGGGAGAAGGTGAGGACACCTATGGCTACAGGCAACTGTGTGTGTGAGAGTGTGTGTGAGAGTGTGTGTGTGCGCACAAGCCCGTACTTGGGAAAACAGAGTTCTAGATCCCATGTTGCATTTTCGTGAGCACATGCCCCACATGTGAGCACACAGGTATGTGTGAAAATGTCACTGCTGCAGTTATTCAAAATGTCAAGTCTGAAAATTAGTCATGGCTTCTTTTTTCTTTTTCTTTTTTTTGCACCATTGGAAGGATTAGCTGCATAATTCTGCTCCACAGTAGAGACAGCAGCAGAATCACATGACATCCAGAGCCATCTGTCAGTCTTGGGTCCTCTGTGCCGTGTCATGTTAGGTTACCCTGGTCACAGCTTTAGTAGTCAGTGTACAGCGATGATTGCAGTGCAGAAGTGAGCGAAAATTGTTTTTATACAAAGGGGGAGTCTGCACCCTCCATCCACTTACTACTACAAATGGTACCACTGGTGCAAAAGAAATTGGTATACGGCTCAAGAAGAATGGCACCACAGCGCTTAGCACTGACACCACGTATCAGGAACACTACAGCTCTAGCAGGTCTGTGTATTGTGTGGGTGTGTCTTATGTCATCCAGGCACTCAGATGCCACTCATTTCTCCTTTAGGAGCCAATGCACAGGTGGCTTCATCCAGCGATCAGCCACCCAGCAGTATATAAGCTAGAGAAGAGCTGCTTACTGAGTAATGAGATTTAGTGGTTTATTCTGCTTGTGTTAACTAAGATTTGTGTTTTATTTGTGCTACTAGTCACTTTTGTGATCTGTTAGGGAGGGCGTGTCCTGGGTCTGCCCCAGGGGCCTCCTCCCGGAGGGGCATGCCCAGAACACCTCACCCAGGACTCATCCTTATCAGATGCCAGAACCACCTCAGCTGGCTCCTTTTGGTGTGGTGGAGCAGCGGCTCTACTCCGAGCCCCTTGCGGATGGCCAAACTCCTCAACCTATCTCTAAGGGAGACATGAGCCACCCTTCGGAGGAAGCCCATTTCTGCCGCTGGTATCTGCGATTTCGCTCTTTCGGTCACTACCCAAAGCTTGTGACGATATGTGAGGGTAGGGACGCAGATTGACTGGTAAATTGAGAGGTTCGCTTTTACGCTCAAGCTCTCTCTTCGCCACGACGGACCGTTACAGCATCCGCATCATGCAGCCATAGAACCAATCTGTCTGTTGATCTTCTGCTCCCTTTTCCCATCACTCGTGAACAAGACCTCAAGATGCTTAAACTCCTCCAGTTGGGGCAGGAACTCGTCCCTGACCGGGAGTGAGTACTCCACCCTTTTCCGGCTGAGGACCATGGCCTCAGATTTGTATGTTGCATCTGAAATATTTAAGCTGAATAAAGTTTTAAGATAGTAATCGTTCAAATGACAATTAAAGCTGGATCTTTAGATAGCAATTTGCAGTGATGTGGTGGCCTGGAGACGATAGAAACTGAATGAGTTTTTGCAACTTCAAATGAAATAGCTGCCCCTGACACGGGAAGAAAGACAAGCTTTGCTCAACTTAGAGGAGAGTAGCTGAAGTAACTACCAATGTGAGTAAAAAATGTAATTGACATGTGACCTGGAAGTAAACGGGTAACTTGTGTTACCTAGGCAACTGGAGCCTGGATTATCAGTATGTGACCGGCCTTAAGATGCAAAGTGATGTGCAAGTTTGCACATTGCAATTTTAACTTATTGTATGTATTTTTTGACTATTGCTTCTTTTATTAATTTTGTTCTTTTGTAAGGTGACCTTGGGTTTTTGAAAGGCGCCCTCAAATAAAATTTATTACTATTATTATTATTATTAAGTGAACAGCTTCCACTGCGGATACAGGTCAAGGATAAGTAGTTCCTCCACTGTCAAAAGTATTTCTGTACACAATCTTATCTTTTTCTTCTTTTGTTATTTTTTGATGGAGATCCAATCTCTTTATGGTCACGATTCACCTCTTAGCAGGTTAGCTTGGTTCAAGGCTTAAAACTCTGTGAGGGTTTTCTGAAACCTCAGTGGAGAAAATGGACCAACCAGTCAGAATGCAGGATGAAAAGAATCA